ACACTCGTAGTGTCACCAGGTAGGTAATTCCACTGGCATGGAGACAGAGGAGAAGGGAGCTTAAATATCATTGGGTTTAAGTTTTCACAACTGCCTGATATCCAAGACCACGTAGAATGAATGGAGATTGGCTACCAAGTTGCCTAGGCTTTGAAGACATGAATGTGGTGAATAGGGATTATAGCAAGCCTTAGTTCTCTTAGTTATCTTTATTTGGAATTTCATGATGTACAAAAAAGGTGGATGTCATCCCAAGCTTTTCTGTGGGAGTGTGAATGATGGGGCAGCAGGGGAGCTTGTTAGGTTGATCTTTGTTATCCTAAATATCCAAGTGCATACCTTAAGAATTGTTACAATACTTTCAGAGGTCTGCATGACTTTAAAGTGCTGCAGAAGTGATCTGTGTAGTTTTATACACCTAACATCCTGCTGTCATTACAGAAGGGCATGGGACTCCCTGAGGTGCTGCCTAATATCTCTCCAGGTTTGTAGGATATCTTGCATTGGAATAACTGTCTATTTTAGAACAATTTAAGTCCACTTCTAATTCCAAATGGACAAAGGAATACAGAGTTATCATTCTAAAGAAAGAGCTGTTCTTTCCAACTAGTGAATCCTCAGTTGTAAATTCAGGATGAAAAGAAACTGCCAGATTCCACTGTTTTAACATTACCCTACATTGATTTGAAGATTATATTTGTCAAAAAAAAAAAAAAAAAAAAAAAAAAAGAGGACATTAAGTATCCCATAGAGAATAGTAGAATTTGGCAAGGAAAAACAACCAACAAAACATAGTCTGAGAGTTGGCAGGTGGAAGACTAAGCAATGGCATTGCCATTTCAGACATTTACAGAAATGCTGATACATTGCTCTTGTTTCTCACATAAAAAGTATTATATATCTTTTTTAAAAAGTTTAGTATGTTGGTTCTTCTTCTGACAAGAAAAGATTCTCATCAGCTCATTGACTTCAACAAGTATTCTTGGCTTAAGGAAACTTTTACAGTACATTATTCAAATTTCTAAAACATCTTCACTGAGTTTCCCACAACTTGAGTTAGAGAACAGTCCATTTCATAAAAGAAAGATGTTAGCATTGTCTTCCCCTCTACCCTGAAATGCTTTAAATCATTCTTTCTCTGTTTTTTCCTGCTGTTGTGGTTTGAGCCTTTTTTGATTTATGCTATTTCTCCTCTCTGATATCCTGATGCAAAATTACATGAAACTTCAGTTGAATTAAGTTTCCATGCTGTTTCAGTGCTTTCTCTTTTTCTAGCTAAGGATAGGATGACATTTTCAAAGCTGCACAAAGACTTTAGGATAATGTTTTACAGTAAAAGATAGTAGGTGTTAAACATATAAGTCACTCAGTATCTCTTGGAATACTTAATAAATTGAAGACAAAATTTCCAGAATTTGAGCAACCTGACCCTTTTGTTATTAAATTTTGATTTCTTTGGGAGATACTAATATACATTTTAAGATGCTTTATTACCTGAATCTTCTGAGAATCCCCAAAACCAAAATGACATAGAAAACACACATTTGTAGTCACTATTCAAGGCATATTCTCTTGAGGGATCAATTAAGGACAGATAATGGTTTTGTTTTGTTTATTCTAGATAAAACTTTCATTAAGAATACTAAGGCCCATAACATTATGAAATATATAGCTCTTCCCATGACCTTCTAAGATTAAAGGGAAAAAGAAGTACAACATTTTGTGCTAATAAAATGTCACTGCCGGAATGTAATACACAAATCCCTCCCAGAAAAAAAGCAGTGGTAGGAATTAATGGCTGTATTTTCAGGTAATGCAAAATAGTGGGGTTCAGTTGAGGTTCTGCGATCTGATAAAGGAATAATGCTGTTTTATTAACTGCAACTGCACTGTGTATGTTTATTCTTGCTGAATATCTTACCCAGTGAGTTATGCCAGAGAATCAGCTTGCTAGTATACTGGCTGTTTGGAAATACTGGAGATCAGAAAACATGAAAAGCCTTTAAAGATCTCTCAGATAACTAAGAATGCACATGACTAACAGGCTCTGGCAAAACCATGTTACAGCACCTGGAAAGGAAATGTATGTAAGAGGAATAGTAAAATGAGCCTTTTTTGATTTATGCTTTTTAATTGTGTGTTACTGCTGCTCTTGTCTTTGGCAAGGGTACTCAACTGACCGTGGAGCCAAGTAGGTATTCTTTATGCACTAACTTTTTCTGAATTGTTATTATTTGGATTTTCACTTTTTTTCCTTTTCTTCCTTCTAAAATTCAGGCAACCACTCCCCCATGCTTTAAAGTCCCTAATTAGACTTCAGACTTTCTATGTATAGCATTTTAGGTGCAATTAGACAATTTAAATATAAAAAAACCCATGCTGATCCCAATTCTCAGGAGTTGCCAAAGAATTTGGACTTCACAAGGGCAAGTCCAGTCTGCTACCATGCTGAATTTCTTTGGGACCTAACAACTATCCACTTACTCAGGCATCTGAATAAGTTTTTCAATGTAATTGTTAAGTTAAAGTCATGTTTGGAAATAAACTTTCTGTGGAGGTTGACATTTAAGTTCCTAAGACTTTCTATTCTGTCAGAGTTAGAAAGACAGCACTGGGAGGAGAGAAGGATAATGTACAAAAGCAATAAATGGAATCTTATTCAGCTGTGCTAGTTTAATCTTACTAAATTGTTCAGAGTTTGGGTTAAACCGAATAGGTCAAATTAAGTCAATGAATGTTTGATTCCTGTTTTATATAAATTTGCTGTAGGTGTTGACAAGCATGGAGTTGTGCCTGTTTTGTTAGTAGAGCCAACCCATAAAGTTATAGCAGAGTACCACTTGGCTGTCACCTCAGTTCCTCAGTTTTGGGGTATGGGTCATGGGGAAGGAGAGTAAAATCAGAGCACCTTGATCAAACCTTGAGAAAATTCCCCATGGTGAACAAAATGTTAGACCTGAAGGATCTGTTGACCAGACTGCAAGACAGTTACCATGCAAAATTCAAAACCTAATGCACGTCTCCTTAAGAAAGAGACCCATCAGGATGCTCCTGTCAAACTGGACATGTAAATATTTTTTGATATATCTGATAGCCTTTCATAATCTGAGCCTTTTTTGGCAAGGAAGCATGCTAAATGTTTCCCTTCAGTTTCATGTTTTTATTATAATTCATGTTGTTAATATTGTCCTGACATTGGTTTGTGAAATCACCCTAGTTTCTCCACCTATGACCTGAAGGCAAATATATTTTATTTTTTAAAAAATCATGATATCATAATGATTTGTTAAATACTAAATTATTTTGAGACTAACTGCTTCCTTAAAAGTTTAGGTTCCCTTCAAGTTTAAGCAATCTGATTTCATTACTTGTATGTCTTACAAGAAATTCCCAGAGAAGGCTGTTGCTATGTATTTAAAATTCAGGCTTTTGCAGTTGTAAAGCCTTTGTCATTCATGTATGTTGTTTGGAATTGAGAATTCAACTCTAAAATTCTTTCAAAATTAAAAAAAAAAAAAAATCTAAAATTTCCAGAGTAACTTTCCTGAAAGATGCATGAGAGAGTAAGGATCCAAAAACCTGTGAAAACTTGTCAGCATCTTTTAGGTTCTTTCAGAACTCCTGTTCTAGGGCACACTTTTCATGCCTTTATGTTTGTTGGTATCTGAATGCTAAAGGACTACCACTGAAGTTTATTACACTAGTCTAAGGAAGATTGTAAGAAGATTTGTCCATTGACATCAAGTTCATAGGCTTCAGGGTGTTCTTCCCTTCAAATCAATTTTTTACACAAGTTCTGCATTATACTTCTAAGTACCTCTGGAGCTGTGGGACTAACAATATGGCACAGCACAGGGATAAGAAAGGTCACAGGTTTTGGAACAGGCACAAAAATTTTTGTTGAACCAAGTACCTATCCTATTCTCCTTTCATTGTCTCCAGACTGAGTTGGAGTGACTTACATCATGTGCAATATCTAGTGGGGAAAACCTCCCCCACAACTGAAAGTTCTTGACCTTATCAGAAACTCCTGGAGAAGTGGAGATATGCAATTCACAGACTTCTGATTGCTTCTCTCTTTCCCATCTTAGAGAAAAAAGTCCTTCTTGTATTTGTTATTGAAAGGATCAACCTCGTCCCCCGCTCCAGCAGCAATTTTTCATTTCTGCAAGTAATATAATTTATTGGAGCAACCTTGCACAACAGTGAAGCAACAAATTGACTTCTCTTTGCCCTACCACTCTTGCTATGGTTAGACCTTTTAGCCACATCAGAAGATTTGGGGGAGGAGAGGGAGAGTAAAGGAAAAACAATTATTGCCTTATGTCTCATGAATATGCAGCACAGTCCTTGATAGAGGTGTTAATTTTAGCAATTAAATTGTTGAGAAAGCATAATAATTTGACTCTTGTAGTGGCATGCATAAAAAATGTCTTGTCATTTACAGGGCCCTTATTAAAAAAAAAAGGAATTCACATACAGACATGAGCTTTGGCAAAGAATACTGTGGAATTAAAGCTCCTATAATAAACCTACTCTCATACACCCTTTTTGTCTTTGATCTGATCTTTTGGAAGCAGCAGCAAGAATAACGGCAAAAAAAGACAGTTAGTCATTGATAATGTTAGGTAATCAGTCACCCCTGGTGTATACATGAACTTTAGGTGACTTAGCACTCAGGCAAGCTTGCAATAAAATCAAATTATGCCCAAACAATGATTTTTAATTTTTTTTTTTTTTTTCAGTCAGACAAAACAGATCTGTCCCAGAAGTCATTGTGATGAAATCAAAGAAACCGGAATATGGTAACACTGAGAAAGCAGCTTGTTTGGCAAGGAATGTCTATACAAAGAACATCAGGTTGGAGATGACCTCTAATGACACCACATATGATCCGAGTACACCCATTTTGACATCAAAGGGATTGTATGATACTATTAAGGTGGTCAATGTGACAAAAGGCACAGAGGTGACTTGCACAGCCAGATTCAACGGCAACACTACTACAGCCAACACAACATTTCCAGGTACAATTTTATGGTATAGCTGCAAGTTATTTCTGGAGGCAATTGTCTTCTACTGCTTGCTATTTCTCTTGCTAGTAAGCATTGCCCTGGGTAACCAGCAGAAATGGGAAAGACATCTGGCATGTAAGCAGGTAGAGCTGAAAGATATTTAAAAGCATCTAAAATATATAGTCTTAACTTTTTAACAACTTGGAGTTACTTTTTTGTTGGGGAGGGGGGAAAGGCACAATATTTTTTTTAAATGTACATTTACTTATGACTAAATACTTCACCACATAGCAGCAAACCTCCTAGATCACAGCGTCAAATAGCCTTTCTAAAACAACAAAAGTTAAAGTGGTGGTGTGTTCTTTTTTTTCTTTAACAACTTTTTATATTTAGAGGAGATTGGTTTTGTCATCATGAAGCTGGTTCAAATAGTAAAAACAAAACAACTCAGGAATTCTTTTGTTTCCTACAATTCAACAGAGATTTTTTTTCCTCAGATTAATGTTAGAAACAGTGCCCAGTCATCTGAGCCTCAGACTATACTGCTCACATGTTCCTACGGGAAGGGTCATATGAACATTTTGTTTAATCCTGTTTAAAATATGGGTATAGTTTATAACACCTTTTCTTTATCATGCTACAGAAGAGGAGTCTGAAGAACCAATAAAAGCAAAGGTTTGCAACACCACAGACATCTCTGCACAAGGTTAGTTACCTACATATATTGTGAATTTACAATATTATGTTGGGGATAAATGCATGGAATTGTATTTTCTCAGGGGTAGAGGAACCAGAATACCACAGAGTCATCAAACACAACCTACTTTTTCAAGGTAGCTAGTTTAGTAACAGAAAAGCAACAAGAAGCAAAATCCAATCTAAACAGACATTCTGCTCCTGTTGTTGCCATGTTTTGCTGTCATCTTTTCCTTTGCTGCTGTTTCTTTTCCTGAAAATATTTGTGGGTTTTTCTTCTGTCAATATCACAATATCCAAATCTAAACCATGATCTCTGTCATCGTTTCTCTGTCACTAAGCAGATACCAAAGTGGAGAAAGCAAACATGCTGTCTATGACTGTGTTGGGTTTGAGAGTCTTGCTGGCAAAAAGTATCGCCTTCAATACACTCATGAGTATCAAGTTGTTTCTTTTCTGAGGTAAGGAAGCACATAGCTTGATCTGTAGAAATACTGGAAGCACATGACAGGAATGACCTATCTTTTTGTCCTTCTAAACCCCACAAACAATGACACCCATTCATCTGCTGCTGTTTCCTTTAAATAACTCCTGTAGGTTTCTGGAGTGAAAAGAACAATGACAACAACAAAAATAAAATGTATAAAACAACCAAAAAAATCAACTACAAAACCTCTGACCCTCCCTTCCAGACCTCAAAGAAAACATCCCCTTTCTGTATCCAAAGCTCAGTTCCTGGTGGCTGGTCCCCAAATTTTCTTTGCAACAAACTTTCTCTGCCAGAGCAACTCAGGTATTACCAGAGTGCTGAAGAGATATCTCATTGTCTATTTCAAGTGCCAGAGGACAAAGCCTGGAGAAAAAATCAAGGCAAATAAAGAGTCAAAAGCAAGGTTCCCAAAACACAAATATAAAAAGTAGTGGGAGAAAAGCTGGGGTGGTGGTGGTAGAGGACTTTTAGATTAAGGTATCCAAAGAAGCACAAACAATAGACCAGCTTAAGTTTTGTGAGACTAGCTGCCTTGATCTGACAGCTATCAAACGTGGCATGTTGGCCCAATTGCATTAAATGTAGTTTAAAACACACTTTTGCTCTTCCAGACAGCGGGGAAGCAAGGCAACAGCAATCTGAAGAACAGCAAAGAGAGCAACAGGTTGAACAGCCAATGTCAAATCTGCTGACAATAACCATCCAGAACACAACACAGCACCTTTCCCATAAGACATTTTATACTGTTGAATACTGCCTAACTAGTTTATTTAGTTTAAAGTTGTAACTGCTTTTGCTATTTCTTTTTCTCTGTGAACTGAGAGTGTATTTTCCCTCATCCCTCTGCTACATAGAAATTGATCTCACTCCTCTAGCCTTTGCATAAAAGGATTCAACCTGCTTCAATAGCTCTGAAAAAAACAAACCTCACTATAGATATATGATCCTTTTAAAACACCTTTTACAGGCATCTTGCTTTACTGTCTGTAGAACCGATCTATTACTGCTGAAAGAATTGAGGCACAGTAGATGCTACTCACAGTTTCTATGTTTTTTAGAAAGCTTTAATAACAATAATTTTCTAGTGTAGATGAGAAGTCCTGTGATGGATCTTAAGTGATTCAATTCAACCAGATAATGTTCAACCATAGAAGCATTTCTTTATTAAGCCTGTATTTCTTCTGCAAAGTGTATGGCACATGCATTTTATGTTACTGTAGTGACCAAAATAAAGTTTCACTAAGCCAAAATGCTGTGGTTTGTTCTGTGCTTTTTATTCTGAATTTGTGATAAAGAATGCTGAAATCTGACTGTCTAATGACCAGTGAGATTAGAAATACAGTTTTGATAACCTAGATTTCCTGTTGGCTTTATTTGTCTTTTCTGGACTTTGTACAGGGAAGCGAAGATTTTCTTTGGCTCATTAGAAAGCTTCAGTAAGGCCATGATTTCTTGACTTGGGGGATTCAAATGAGGTTTGGCCTTTCAGATCACTCTGAAGAGACTACAGCAAGATATTTTGTATCCTGTCAAAAAGAGATACATGTCTAAGGAGCAATCAGTTAAGAGACAGCTTGATATGAGCGTAAGGAAGGAAAATACACATATCAGAAGAGCAGAAAACATGTTGTTTTTTTCTACTCACTGATACTAGGAAGAGGCCAACAGGAAATAACGTTTTGTGGTTTGATGGAGTGATAGTTTCCATAGCAACTTGGTTATTAGTCAAAAAGACCCCAACACATATTCTCCAGCTTATTTTTTGATCACAAGCAACAGGCAGGATGCTGTGGTCAACATTTATGACGAAGTTACACCATGCAAGATTAACCTCCCTTTGTCTTAAAAAACAAGTTAACCACATCCTGAAGGGAAAATAAGGTTCTTCATATGCTGGCTGAGTTACTGCTGGCTTCAAGACAGCCTCTACAGAGTAAGAGTCTGTTAAATTAAGCTTTGTCAGGTTAGTCCCTCAGACCCTGCAGACACCTGGAGGAAGACCCTCACCCTATGCAGAAGATAAGAGAAATTTGCATGTCAAATCCCAAAACAGTAAAATGATTATTTAGTGCATTCTACCACCATAATATAAATCAGGGAGAGCTGTTTGTTAATATTTTTATCCTGATTTAGTGATGACACCCTGAACTTTTTTATCTTGCACTCCACACCTTTTCCCAATCTCTCAGGCAAGCTGGGAGTACCATTTCTGTGCTTCTGTGCAAATCAAGGAATGACATTTTCCTGAGTAGTTCTGAATAGTCCTAGCTGTTCCTGAGAACTTTAGCAGAATTAAAATCCTGTAACACTGCACAAGCAAAAACAGGGATCTGCAAATGTGTGACTACTGAAGGATATAATTGACTCATACAGAAATTTATCAGCCGTATAAAGACATCAGCCTCTATTGTTTCAAACACTCATCCACATTGGCCTAGGACACCAGAGCCCTCGTTTCCATCACAAAGAGATTAATGGCCTGAGTCATACCTCCATGCTCACGTTTTTCAGACCTCCCTCTGCACCACTGGGAAACGGATCACTGTGGGAACATCTATGCCCTCAATAACCCTCTAAATTGTCAATCATCCAAGTCTCTGTTATCTAGGTCTCAGTCAAAAAAATAGAAGCAGATGTCTTTGAGAAGATGGTTTGAAGACTTCAGCCCTGTGAATCATGAGAAGCAGGGAATAACCATCCATCATTCTCCTACCACAGTTTATCACTCATTCACAGAGAACAAAACTATTCTCCACTGGAATGGGTTAGCGTGGTGGCCAGGCCTGTGGATCCTCTAAGACTTTATTTCAGGTCAGAGTATGTGAAATAAGAGGGTTGTGTCACAGCTGGCCAAATAATGTTTCTGAGACATGAGAGCATCCTCATACTGTAGCCAAAGACAGTGCAGTCTGATTTTCTGACTTTATCTGGTGAAAACTATTTGTCTGGCTGTGTCTGACCTTCTGGAAAGAATGAATTAGCTTCCTGTGGCAAGAAGCATCATATACTGGCTTAAACTAACTGAGGATAAGAGAGGGAGAGGGAACAAACTGCATAAATACACTCTTGGGGAAAAGAGAGGTATCTGTACCCAGTGAGAAATTTTGGCACTTAAGCAGCTGATATCTAGAGAAGGGAAGTTAACTAGAAAGACAGTACCATATTAGACCACAAGATGCAGCTGGAAGAAGCAGATACATGTGCAGACACACAACCTCTTTCCAGCTCTTATGCTTCTAGACAGATTGTGATGGGTTTTTTATTTGAATCATTCCCCATGTCAGGAGCTATATAGGTCAACTATTTTAGATAGAGTTAAGAAAGAGCCTGTACCTCCCCTGTCTTATTTTCTGTCACTGTGTCTTCCTAATTGCCTCCCACTACCAGTGGCTTTTGACTTTACAGTTGCAAATTTATAATTTTGAGCCAATGCAGAACATACAGCTTAAAAAACCCAGGAGAATAACATTGTTTACAGAAGAAAATCTGTAATGGGGAGCTTTTGTACAGACCAATAGTCAGATTATGTTGGTGTGGCTAATTCCACAGAAGAGAACAGAGTCTGCAGCTTTCCCAGATGATATGATCTACGGCAAACATTTTGTTCTGTCAAAATCAGCACTCTGAAATTTAGAATTATCCCTAAATAGGAAAAAACACATTGTCCTGTAAGAGATCCAATGATACCAGGATAATTGAGGATGATGATAAGTAAAACTCTTTAGTGCAAAACATTTTAATAGTACTATCCATATTCTCCTACAGATTTAATTTTGTCCATATTTGATTATATGCAGATGGCCTTTGAATACCCTCAGGAGTGGAGTCACTATCCCTGAAGATATATTCAGAAGTCATCTGGACCTGGTCCTCAGCAGAGGTCCAGATAGTCTTGCTTGAGCAGGGGAAACCTGATGACCTCCAGGGGTCCCTTCCAACCTCAATCATTCTGTATTTCTGTGATATCTTTGTCATACACAAAACATTTGCCTAGAAATGTCAAAGAAGAAAGCCTAGGGTAGGAGTACAATTATTTGGAACTCAGCTAATGTGGCAATTCAAATTTACAAAGCCTGAACACAATCTGAAATTTCTTGAAGACAATGTCAGGCAAGCAATATCTTATTAGGCAGACAAATAGATGGGATACCTTTGAAGCATACAAAAATATTCAGGCTTCCAGGTCTCTTGACATCATTACAAAAAGCAGGGCCTCTACTACTACACCAAGGGCACTGTATTACACCATATTACCTCTGTAATCCAACAACTTAATTTTCTCATGGATGTGCATATGGGAAAATAAGATCTGTCCAGTTTAGGGCTAATACTTATTCAAAGGTGTAAATAAGCATTTTTATAACACAGAGAATGATTCTAAAATAATGAGTAATTTCTGTGGTTTGACCTAAGGGAGTATTCTTCAAATTTAAGTCCGGACTAGAGTTAAGAAGCTGCTCCCAACACTGTTGTTGTTCCCAGAGTAAGAAAAACCTCCAGACATCCATTCACCCAAAGTAGAAGCTTGCTCTTAAGTCCTTCCAAACAGCACTCTCTCTCCACGCAATGTCAGAGCCTGTAAACAGCTGATGTGATCATCTGTCTCCATATGTAAGTGCATATATCCAAGCTGCAGATTCTGTGGACTTCTGTGTTTCTTTCCTTGATGTTAATGCTCATGGATTTTTACAATAATGCCTTCCTCCCCATTCTCACCTCTGGTTCTAAGGATCTATCAAGCAGGTCTTGGTCATGCTAAGTCACATAACAAATGTACCTCCCTCAGGGGGCTGGAATATTTTCATCTTTGTAGGTAAAGGTCACGTGTGTCAGACTAAGGGTCTGAATGTCTCGAAGCTGTTCATTTTGAGTATCTTCTCACCTCTTCTGTGCAATTGCTGCTGTGCTGCAGGTGTTTGTTTGTTTGTTTGAAGTTTCTGATTCAC